ACGCGATGGTTCCCTTAGGAAATAACTCGTATTTTCACACCAAAAAACAAGAAATCCCCTGATTGCGAATGTCGTTAGAGAAAAAAGTTTCGCTCACTTGCGAAAATGCTAAGTAACACGTGAATATCGGGAACATGCTGATTTTCCTCTTTATACAGGTTAGTGAAAATACCATATTATGAATATGTATTTCGTTCAGCAAGGATAAAAAATATATAAATTCTTTCCATTATTATAAAAGTGAAATCCCGTTTCCCCTTCGTGGGGCATGGGGCGAACATATTTCTGTGTCCGTTTCACTGATCCGTTCTTTAACAAGCAAGTAGTTGATCAGATTTCTGTGCCCTACCCGACCGAAACATTTTTTTTGTTTCTCTGGGATTTTATTAGAACCTCTCTCGCGTAACGCAATGCTAGGCAATACGTTTAACCATTTGGTAACAGAGGCGGTTTCCTTATTATAGAGAAGGACAAATTAGCTTGGAAAAAACCTTTTTTGTCTGAAATATTCCAGACCGATATATAAAATTTAATAAAGTTGTACTGGATATCTATTTTGGTTTGGGGGATTTTGTTCTTCAAACTGAAACTGTGGTTAGTAACTTTCTGTGGTGAGTGAAACTTCCATATTCTTCTACCAAATAATTGTACTAATTTTTTCTGGCTTTATTTTAACATCAAAGAATTATTTTAAAATATTATAGACCCAGTGGACCATTGAACCAATGATTTGATAGTTATAAAACATTCAATATACCATATAAATTAAAAAACCATGTCTAGGAACGTCGTATTACTAATATTTTTTTCTATTAGCGTTATTTTCAGAATTTAATTGAACAAAAATTCGTGGCTCTTTTTATTCATTAACGTAATATATTCATCATTAATTTAATAAGAATGTTAAATAATATGTATTATTAAATGTAAGTGTAGTCTGTAATCTATGATGTCCTTGCCTCTGTAAATATAAAGGTCTCAAGCTAAGTTAAGCTAAAAGCCGAAATATTTGTTCACACCGGCTCAGCATGAAAGATATTTTATCATAAAATCGATGATGAAATGATAAAACGGACACAAAAATGTGTATGGCTTGTACTCAACGTGAACGTAACAGAAAAGTAGTGTTCTTTCAAAAATCAGTGGAGTACATACGGTATTTGTACTCAAGGACCATAAAAATGCAAATTGTAATTTCCGAGATTTATTTCCAAAAAAAAGCGTTTTATTTCCCAAAAGAAGTCTATTGAAAGGGATTTTACAAACGCAAAGGGGATGAGGCGCTGAAGTATAAAATTGGATGTTCCAGATTGTTGGAATCGATGGCCCAATTTTAACTTTTACGATGTTTTTGTTTTTCCGAGATTCCAACGAAACAAATCTTTACAGTGATAGAATCTCTTGTGACTGAATTCTCGTTGATGGACTTTTATTAGGTCAATTTGTGCCGTACTTTAGCGATAAAATGTGAAAATGATATATCAATTGAATTGGTGTAATTGCGCGAGAGTTGCAAGCATCAATAGGTTGAAAAAAATCGACGGTGTCGTGTAGACGTTAGCCCAATCAGTAAGCGCAACAGCACGGAACGTATGCCGGTTCAAGTCCCGCTTGTGTCATCAAATTTTGTCAATCACAATAGAGTTATTACGAAAAAGTAATAAACCGAATAAATAATAAAGTTATTTATAATATAACAATATTAAAAGCATGTTTTATTTAAAAAAAAATAGTCGTTCATTGACTTTCAGGTAGCTTAAAGGGATACGTACAATTGCAGACAACACCTATATTAGTAAATATAGCAAAGTATAAAAGTTATATCATCGAATAGTTTAATTGAAAATAACCATGCAGCATATTTTAACATAAAAGTGTAACATACTTTCATTAATATATAAGAGAATTTTAAGAGCCAAGCTAGTGCGGCTTCGCGGATCCTGGTACGGGGTAATGGCATCTCCATCTTCTTAGTTCCAGGTTGATATTCATTTTTTTTTTTAATTCTAAAGAGCTGGCACCTCGTGAGCAACAATTGACTATTCTAATTACTAGACCAATAATACCAAGGATATGTCTGTAAGTAGTCTTTTTTCCATTGCAGTAAATTATTATAGATCAGTTCGTTTTGTTTCAGATAAGTTTGATTTTAAAATATGTATTGGTAAATCCACACGAAACAAACTTTGTAATATAACATTAACGATGTGCGGAGTCAAATGATATCCGTAGTCGCAAACTCGATAAAACTTAATAATACCGTCGAAGTTTTCGCATCAAACTATCTGGAACTACTATTCTGTCGCTAAGAAGTCATGCGGAAAATTGGGTCGAAACTTAATCCCATATGAGATAGACCCTCGTCTGGACATCTGCGGAGGTTGAAGGCTTGGGCTTACTACTTATTTTCTGCAGAGTTACTTATATTCCACATGCTTGCTTGCGACGATGTTTTATCTTTATTTTTTTGTTAATTGTTTACATGAAATTGGTGTATTAGTTGAGAATGACATAAAAGAAATACAAAGAAATTAATAATTCTGTTTTTGCAGCACTAGCGCCATCTAGCGTAAAGTGGAGATAATTTTGTGCTCAATAGCTATGTCAATTTCTGGCCAATCGGGCGCAGTGGTTGCTAAAGGCAGAAGCCTCATTTTACTTGAAGATAAACTCAATGTATGAATGTATATGTCGTATGCGACAATAAAACTAAATAAAGCCCAGTAGAAATACATTAATGTGTATGTGTGGATGCTGGAAGCTGTCGCTAAACCCTCTGGAAAGATTTCAGTATTAGATATTGAAGTATAATTGTACGAAAGTTTTCTCCCCAATGTGCCAACAGCACAGATGCACAAAATATTATTAACGCAGTAAAAACAGAATGAAAAGGCTTCGCCGCAGGCGCATCGCACGGTGCGGTGGCCATGGCAACCGTGCGGTGACATTCGCTCCATTGGTTGCTTAAGTAAAGAACTAATTTTAATTGAAACAAATTAAATATAAAAAAATACTTATAACGGTACTATTTACAGTCTTTTTTATAATTCTAAGGTGCTTACAAAATTAATCAATTGAATTATATCAATATGTATACCGTTTAATTATATCGTTTTAATACCATTTTAAAGATATTTCACCATAACTACTTCGATAGCCTAATTTATTGTTTATAATTTTTATATAGTCAAAATGAAACAAATATATAATTCATCTAACGTTTATTTTCGAAATTTCATTTCTATTAAATTAAAAATTATATGAATTACAAAATAAACAATAAACAATCAGTCTTTTGGAAGATAAACATTATAATCTACTAACTTTAACATGGAAGCGATGCATAAAATAACAAAATAAAACACGTTATTGACAGTTAAATTTAGTTTAAATATTTACACAATAAACATAATTACGACATGGTAGATGCTAGACAAGTATGCATCTTCTTGCATGGATGTCGAAATACCCCAGCCGCATAACTTACAAAGAATTAATTTACACAATTAATCGCTTCCACGTCTAATAAATATTCTACATTGAGATAAAAATGCTTTACGCAAGATATATTCACATAGTTCAAAATCTTTGATAGAAAAACTTATTTATACGTCATGATTCCATTTTAAATTTCGACAATTCCCAAGCAGCAAGAGAAATGTATGGATATAAATGTATAGCGATCAATGCCATACAGTCATCGACAATAACTCATATGTCATGTGATATACTATTTTATTCCCTTCGAGCTTCCTGTTCTCGACAACAAGAATTATGATTTTTATTAGGTGTAGCGTAATCGTTATTAATTTGCACAATGTTTTTTCAACTTTGCAACTTGATACAAAATTCTTTACAATTTCTTATTCTTTATGCGCTGTGACATGGAGCCGGTGACAGGATCACTAAGGCAAAGTAAGTTCGACGGGCTCGTTATAATAACAGCAATGTACGGCTAATAATCGATCCCACATATGTCTAATATTTCAATTTATACTTTTTCTGAAACGTGTTGGACTCCTGGAAACCTGAATATTGAATGGGTGGTACGAATATAGAACTCCCGTCCGGGTCACGAACCGCCTTCCATCGAAAAAGAAAGCTTAGTCGTGAAGTTTGATCTCATTTCTCTTTCATTAAAGAAAAAAAAAGATTTCACTCTTGAAGGTTCCGTAATTTACAAATTAAGACTTAATATTTCTCTTGTATTACATTAACTTTTTATATTTGTATTTACTGTAGTACTTAATTTAAGCCACTGTAAAACAATTTGTTTCAAATTTCAATGAATGTTTAATAACTGCAAGCTGTAACCCATACTACATGTATATAGCATATTCGCATTTTTTACTTCAGTAAAAGTATCGAGAGTTTGATGTCGGTCTATGACATACTTGTATCACAAGCGATTAAAGAAACTGCATGTTTTCCGTACATAAGTCGAAATCGAGACGCTAGTGACTTTTCTCGCTATATAAGAATTACATTAGTAATCAATTCGTAGTAAACAGTCCAATTAAAATGTATAGTATAGTATATAAAACACTTATCGGTTTAAAAAGTGGCTGTGACCGGTTATACTAAAACAAAAATTAAAACAATACATTTTGCGTAGGTAAAAGTGTTTCATTTAATGCGTACAACTCGTGTAAACTATAAACACTGTTTGGCATAATTTAAAAATCGAAAATAAATTTATAAAATTTTCGACTCAATTGAGCTACCGAGTCTTGGTAGAGCAACAGCACGGAACGCTGGTTAAGTCCTGCCCGAGTCAAAATTTTTTTCAATTTATTTTCGCTTTTGAAATTATATAGTACCTTCGTGTGCATTAACATGTAAAAAATATGAATGTTTGTCAAACTGTTTGGCATAGTTTTGCAAGTAATTACAAGTAGTAATCTGTACAAAATCAAGTCTTTTATTTTAATATCGATGTCTTATTATTAACCATATAAAATAGTTTTCCTTATTATACTAAACCTTACTTTTTACATCAGCTACCTGTGATGAGGTATTCTGCAGGCTTCTGAAAAGTAAGTTATTTATAAATTATTATTATTAGCATTTCATTCACACATCCGCAATTAATCTAACCCTAGAAGACTTGAGTCACAAGTACACACTTTATAGTTTTATTTTGTTTATTTTTCAATATAAATTAATGTGTGTGTAATATGTAATTAGGAGTTAGGGAAATAAATAAATAATGAATATAATTTTCACTTGTCACTACTTCCTACAATTACCTACAGTTGTAACAATGTGTATTAGGAAATCAGAACTTCGTAAAAAATATAAAGAAAATAACTTTCATTAATTAAAGCTATTAAGTAACAGAATAATGTATCTAATATATTACTATTATTAGTCATTGTCTTACTTCTTGGTGCGCTCTTCAGCGTCGTCGTTCGTGACACGCAATCACTGTCTTCTGATTCGGATCTCATTTGAAAACTGGTTTCTATGGAAAAGGAGAATGAAAAGGTATATTTATTATAAAACGTCCAAATCAAGTACTACGCATGAATTAAAACGCGTTTAAATTAGTTGAAAATGTAAGTGACATACTAGAGCGTTAGGGTAGCTTCTTTTTTACTTTGACATTAGGGACACCTATCTATAGTCTCCCCGTGACCACGGCTGCTGCAAAACACCCGAAACATCGGAACGTAGCTAAGATAAGATTAACTAAGACATTTTGCGTTTTAAACAGTTAGAGTGCTTTATTTAAATGCTTTACTGTGTTTATTTGCGTAAACTACAGATAGTACGTACTTACCACTATCGTATCGTGACTTGCTGTTACCACCGAGTCTACTGGGAGGCTCTTGATTTTCCACATGACCAAAAGTACGGAACCCGATAGCGAATTGTGCGTATGGGCTTATTTCGTAGAGTTCTGAAAAAAATTCAATCTTTTTGAACTGTTAGTTAAGATTGTGTCCTCCTATATATGTTGTAAGCCCCGTTTGACGGGCTTGATGGAGTAATTGTACCAATATACGGCTAATAATCAACGGGTCGTGGGTGTCCCCACCGGGTCTAACATATTTGTATTCAATTTAATTCTTATATGAAACATGTTGAACTTCATCTGGAAATCTGATTATTAAATGAATGGGTTCCAGGTTGCAACCACAGTTCACAGACGAATAGGCCATGAAGCTTAATCGCGATTTGGTTTCAGTCTATGGATTTTCAAATAACTAAAGCTTAAATAGGTTAATAGCGCGTCTTGTTTGGATGTTATATTACAAGACGCGGCTGGAGTATTTTTATCACCTTCCATCAAGTTCTTCTCTCCTCCTCTGTTATAAAAAATAACACAACGAACATACTAAATTTATATGACATGTTAGATTGCGCTAGGGTAGCCACTATAAATGTGTCAAGTAGTCTAAAATTCCAAGAAGTCTTAACATCCAATAAGTAATCCAAATATCTTTAATACTGCATCATATTGAGGCAAAAGAAGATTTTTTTATTTTTATGCTAAGTTAAAATAATTCTTATTATTTTCGCAGTATAACTAACCATGTTTATTATCAGCTGTCAAATGAACTGGCGTGCTATATACTCTGTTGTTGACGTCTGTTGGAATGCTCTGTGGTGTATTGACAGTAGCGTTACTTCGTTCCGATTTGCACTCTGTGGTTAATGAGTTTCTATATTCTGTTAGTCTTTGGTGGCTATAAATGAGAAAATAATAATTACGCATTTATTTGAAGCTGTTTGAAACTATAGTTATATGATTTAGACACTCACTTATGTCTCTTGATAAATATGTAGAGACAGGCTAACATACAAATAGTCAACAAAATCGAACTACAGATTATAACCAGCATGTTCAAGTCTAAGTATTCTGAGGGCGGGCCAATTGACTCTGAAAAAACAAACACATTTTATTTATGATTGAAACTTTTATTTTTATTATCAAAGAAACATATGGTCTAAATTGCTATTTGTATAGTTTATATAAAAACCACTAAATTCGTATGAGGTGTAGCAATCACTAAAATATTTAAATATTGCCTTTTCTTTTCTGAGCTTGAAACAATTATAATTATGTTCAATTTCATACCTCCAAGCAATGTAGTTGTTGCGTACATGTATAATGAGGTAGAAATTCCAGCAGAGTTTTCAGCTACTACTCTGATTTGGTACCACTGCGCTGGTAATAACTCTGCCAGTATAAATGAGTTGGGCTGACTTAGGACCTGGGTGTATGGTGCCCATTGATCTAGCACTGGCTAAAATTACAATTTCGATTAAATCATACAAAATAAATAAATTGAAGTATTATGCTTTAGAAATAAATGGATTTTAAATTTAAAAGTATCTTAACAGTAGAAACGACAACAAAGATACGATATGACAATATGCCTGGAATCTACATGAAATAAAACACATTCAAATTATTTATCTAAAACATTTAACGGTTTAAAACGGGTAATATATTCGTTAATTTCAAGGCTGCCCGAACATGGGAAACGTTGGGAAATATATTTCGCGTTTTAAACCCTTAAAAGTGTTAACTTTCAATGTGCACAACTCGCGTAAACTAGAATACATAATAAAATTATACAAATGTAAAAAATAAACTAAATTAATTTCCAATATATAGAATGTTTATGTTACGGATTAAAATACGAGACAGCGCAGATAATTTCAAAGAGCTAACGCCTCCTAAGCCTGCCCTAAGGAACGGCTTCTATTAGGACCTCAACTTACCAATCTATTCTCAGCTCGCTTCCAGATCTTACTTCCATATTCACGATAGTCCACCTCCCATCGTGTAATTTCACAACCGTTATCGTCCCAACCACTGAGTTGTATATAAATATGAGTTGCATTACTCCAGAACCATTCTGTAGTCGGTGGCGATATAGGAACTGCAATTCATAGGGAGTTTAGACTGCAATAGGTCTTATCAGTACATATTATAAACAAAGTCGCCTTTTTCTGTCCCTATGTGCGCTTAAATCTTTTAAACTACGCAACGAATTTTGATGTGATTCAAGCGAAAGGTTTTTTTTTACAACTTTCACAGTTTTTATGTAGTGTATTTGGTATCAGCATTGCCGCCGAGCGAAGCCGGGGTTCGGTCGCTGGTTATTAGGATAAAAACATTCCATAGTTAAACAAAAAGTTTATATCCAGGTGAACATTACTTGTTTTTTTACTATGATGTAGATATTTTGAGTTTTATACCTCCTCCTAAAGTTGTGGCATCAACATAAGCGGGTTGAGAAGTACCAACGGTATTAGATGCTGTCATTCTTAGAGAGTATTTGGTCCCGCACTTCAAACCTTGAAGAGTGTACTCCTGTGTTCCTTGCAAGAAGGCTCCTTTATCAGACCAGGCGTCTTGCCAAATGCCATTTGTTTCCTTCCAAGTTAGATTATAACCTAAAATGTCGTTGTTAAAAAATCAGTTATAAGTCATAAGCGGTAACATTAGTTTTATCTAAGAATGTCTATATAACTAACTAGCTGTGTCAGCGACTTCGTCCGCGTAGAATACTTATTGTGACTATCAAAATTTGTTTTTGCAAACCTCCTGTTCAACTCTATAAAAACATAAATACTATCTATAGTTTACGCAATTAGTAGACGTTTAAATAAAATACTTTAACGTTTTAAAACGCGATATATTAGTTAAATTTATTTGAAAATGAAACGTCGGGCGAACGAACGAAGTTAAAAATCATTTTCAATTAAGTTTAACTAATGTATCGCATTTTAAACTGTTAAAGTGTTTTATTTAAATATATAAAAACTTTTAAAAGGCATCAGTATATGCATTTGATAAAGTTTTTATAGACCCTTTTTTAAGAACATTTAAAGAGATATGATTATTTTATAAATATTTTTAGGTGTTTTGAACTTTTTTGCAGCGTCCGCAACGGAAACTAACTAAAAATAAATATTGTTCCCTGTCAACATTTCCGGTGTTTTTTCGCTTCTATTAGTCTCAGAGCGATGTTTTAGCTTTCCTCTATAAATGTCCTAACAAACACAAAAAATTTATTTTTTTTCAATTTGAACCCATATTTGAGATTAGCGTGTTCAAACAAACCAACTCTTCAGCTTTATATATACGTATAGGTTAAGGAAAGCTTCAAGACCACCAGATTTGTTGAACTTACTTATCTTCTGTAGTTTTCCATTAGACTTCTTTGGATAATCCCATTGTAGGTAAATTGCATTTTTATGTGACGTCACTCGCAAAACTGGCGGGTCAGGAGTTGGTAGAACGGTCACTTCGTACGAAACTGAATCTGAACCGTACAGGTTTTTGGCTAGACAAGTGTAATTCCCGCTCAGGGAATGGTCGATATCTGAAAGTTATATAACACATTGATGGATTAATTGTTAGAAGAAGTAGTAAAACACAAGAAAAATTATATTAGGTCCATATAGATAAGAACTCCTTCTAAGAATGGCGGGACAAGATGTCCTCCCTAGAGAACCATATATAGATTGAATAAAAATAATGATATCAAAATCAGTGAAGGCTGTGACCCTGGGACAGTACTACGGGTGTCAGATTATACTGAAGTGAATTGAAACATTTTTGTGTAAACTTTATTAAATTAATAAATAGTATTATTGGGATAATTGTAAATGCTGATGGTTAAAAAGAGACAACGTCCGGTAAGTATTGAGGGCCGCCAAGAGTCACTTGCTCGTTGTCTCTCGAACGGAACCCTGTTTGCTATATTTCCTTATAAAATAACAGTTGTTTGTAAATTTAATGAACATATTGAGAGGATATAAGTATACTTACTATTAATAAGTAGGCTGTCATCATGGTTCCGCGTATATCTGGGATGGTGTGTAATTATGTTGTGGTTGTGATACCACACGGTGCGGGCGGCAGGTGATCCAACGCAGGAACAGGAAAGCAACAGAGATGATCCAACTCCTACTGATATACTGCCGCCAAGAGACGACACGCCGGCAACGACTGGAAGATGATAAGGTAGAATTTAAGAAAAATAACAGTTTAATATGCTTGACTACATTGTAAGGGCAAGAACAATAAATGCAATGTGACTTATAGGAGCTAACAAACAGCGGGAAATGTAGAACGAACGGTTCAAGATACCCAAAAAATACAACAGTCAATGATTCCTCTTTATATGATCTAAAAAATGACCGCAGCACTATAAATAATCTTTTGAGATGAACTTGCAAGAACAACAGGACGCGACCGACGTCGTGGGTACCAACTATAATTTATAAGATTAGGGTGGGTTGGCAAAAAAAAAAATATGCTCAAAATAACTATTCTACGCAAAGCACCTGGCTCAGCCAGTATCTGTCATATAACTCACGTCGTAATGAAAGGAAAGTGCTGAATTGTGTACCTTTACTGGTCAGCTCTGCGTGAAATCTTTCCGTAGCAGCTCCCTCTCCAGCAGAAGTGGTCGCACGTACAAACACTTCATATTGAGCTCCAGTTCTTAAATTGCTGACTGTGAAACTATGTTGCCGAAGAGGATTTATTTCTTGAGCCTCCACACGGTACGTTTGGGGTGATGATGTGCTGGGATAGATTAAATAGTAAAAAAGTTCGATAGGCTCAATGGTGTATTGGTAGGATGTATTCGTCTAGTAATCTGGATATTAAATTGGTGGTGGGGATGTCAAAATTTCCTCCGGGGGGCGCAACCCCCCCCCTTTTTTAAAAAACCCGGGTTTTTTTCCCCTTTTTTTTTTCCCCCCCCATTTTTCCCCCCCCCCCCTTTTTTAAAAAAAAAAAAAAACCAAAAATATTTCCCCCCCTAAAGGCCGGTTTTTTTTTTTTTTTTTTGTCTTTAAAAGAACAGAATATAGCTAATAGTCAAAATTTGTTAGAAAAACTGAACTTTTCCAACGAATATAACATCCGATTTTTTATGCTTTGGATATTTGAAAACTTGCTTCACAGCTTTTTTATCTATTTATAGTTCTGACGGAATTCCGATATCTCTATCATTAGACGTACACGCTTATGATTCCACAAGTCTTTAGCTATATAATATGTATTACTAAAATTGGACGAACCCATCAAATAACTTACCTAGATACTGGTTTGACGTAAACATTATAATGGGTAATCTCTCCATTTGGTTTTTCCGGTCGTTTCCAGCTCACCATAATAGATGTCGGAGAAGAAACCACAACCTTTATAGCTGACGGAGGACCTGGAACTAAAGACACCAAATAAGAATAATATATTTAGGACGGGTTATCTATACTAATTAGTAAAGTGAAAAGTTTGTTTATTTGGACGAGATAATATCAGGAACTACAGATTCGAAAAAATTATTTTGTGTTGGTTAGATAGCGAGAAGGCTAAGGCTATAAAAAATTAGGCTGCGACCAATAGGAAGAAGAAATAGTGGGAAACGTGGGACAAATGGATTACAAAATCATTTTTGCCAGTTTTTGTTGCGTGCGCTGCGAAAACGATTCAAGATACACAAAAATATGTATGAGATAATGATTCCTCCTTTGATGATCTAAAAAAATGACCCAGATAGTGTAAGTTTATCTTTTAAGATTTATTTTGAAGAGCAACGGGACATGAATAACGACCTGGGTAAAAACTATAATTTATAAAAATAACTATTGTACGCGGATAGCTGGCACAGTTAATTGATTAAATAGCATAAAGTGAAAATCGTTCAAGACGGTTTCAACTCCTACGAGCTATATAACCTGTTAAATAATCTATTCTTACCATCTTGCAATGTAGTACAAACTACCGGATGCGAAAACGGCCCCATTCCATAGCTGGAGAAACCAGCCACTTTAATTGTATAGTTGGTGTATTTCATTAGATTCTGTAGATATAACTCGGTATGTGGTGACGTCATGTTCGACCAAGGGCCGTCTGGAAATTAGATAAAATTTATTAAATAACTTAGTAAAAGGTCTAATTATTAAAACTGTTACATATACTTGTGATAAACACTTGTTTCTTCATAAGACAGTCACAGATGCAGACAACATATCTGTGACCGGAATTATTTATTATATGATTTAACGGGATTCGTATCCAAGATCTCTTACACTTAATACAATGCCTTTAATTTGAGCCATTAAAACATATGAAAGACTACAAGAACATGTTTATGTTAAATGTGAGTTAAACAGCTTGCAAATTATTTCAATCCAAGTTTGTGTAAGGAAAAAACAAATATGGCGTCTCATTTTCCTGTTTTAGGATATCTCATGTATTCCCGTTTATACAAAAGTTGACTTTAATTTTTACCGTCAGTGCTGTAATACACGCTGTATCCAAGTAGTGATGCGCCGTGACTAGCGATGGGCTGCCAGGCAATCCGCACAGAAGTCGATGAAACCCCACGGCATTCTACACTTGATGGAGGATTCTCTGGGGCTGTAAATGTACGATGTTTTTAGAGCTTTTGGGATCGAAAACCAGAATATGTTAGTGTAATTTGGTGACTTGTATAATTTTGATTACCTCCTTCTCTTGTCATTTGATATACCGGTAACGAAAATGGACCATTTCCCGCCGAGTTAAAAGCACTGATTGATATTGCATATCTGAAATTGTAAGATATAATTGTAATACAATCCATTGGTAGTGTGTGGGTCTATTAGTAACAAAAATACTTCCTTTCTAAATGAGATATTAATTTTAATGTTCTTTTATTCTATGTATACTAAAGAATTGAAATAGATACATTATTTATTTATCTTTAATAATTTTTTATTATTATTTCAAACTGCTTCCATACCTTGTATTTTTCAATAGACCACTCAACAATGTTTCCTGTTTACCCTTTCTAGATGTCACTTTCACCATCTTTGTTTGAGTGTCGTTGGGACCTGCAATACAAAGGTTATAAGTCAATTAATAATATAATACCTAAATAAAAAATATTTAACTCTATTTGGCAATGTCATTAGTATGGGACGTCAACTGACAGCGAACGAAGTGTGCTTCGTCTAGCAAAAGTCTTGGGTCGCAATCTAGCCGACTTCAGCGCGTTGTTCTAGTAACAAATTACAAGAATCTAGAAACCGTCGCACATTTCCTTGTGGTTTAAAATATTTCTTTGAATCACCCAAAGAGCTTTCTTTTAGATAAGACTCTGTCTACACTACTTCTAACTACAATGTATAATAAATATACTCACCCGTTTCCCCTGCTATTCTAGGGACGGCTTTTACATGATAACCCTGTAATTGTCCGTTGTGGGTTTCTCGTGACGGAGGAAGCCACGACACCGTTAACTCCCCCGGATTTTCTGTTTGTTGTGCTTGTACACTTATCGGACTTGTAGATGGCGCTGTAATAAAAACGATACATACACTTTTGTTTAGCAATATAATATTGAAGTGAAATTGAAGATCACATTATATAAAAATCAATGTACTGTGGAAAAAAATCAATCTAATTTATTGGCCGGTATATAAATAAACTTTATCTGAAAATACTTCATTTAGATTCATATTTAAATAATATATTATTAAATAAAAGTGCTGTCCCCTTAAGCTAAATTTTTAAAACTTAGTTGATGGTTACTTAGCAATCAACATATCCAATAAACTTAGTAGGCTCCTTTTTACAATGATTCAACTACTCACCTTCTTGCAACGTTGTAAAATGCACCGGCATAGTATAAGGACTAAGATCGACCATATTTCCCGACGAGACTCGAACTCGGTATTCCGACGCTGGCTGTAAGTCACGCAACTCGATACTTTGTCTAATGTCTGTCTCTTGTCTGAAATGCACACTCAAATATTATACAAATGTTGATACTTCAAAATTACCGGCTAGGAATGGCGGGTAATTCCCAATATATTGGCTATACATATATACAATACATATTAGAAAGGCGGCAAAAGAAACACATGTGCATATTTAATGTACTAAGAAATATAAAAAACATTTAGGGGTTTTCAGATATAAAAGTTAGTAAGCCATAACAACAAGATGGCTACCGGAAGTTACGTCACATTTTAAATGATTATTCTTATTAAACCGAATTATTCCTATTAACTCATTTATGAACCTATCTTATTGTAATAGGTCTAAAAAGAAGAATTACCTAGTAATATTAATTGTCTTAGCATTTTCCCAGCCAGTAAAATGGTTCGTCGTGTACTGAACGTTATAGTACTGGACATGAGCTACTATCGTATCTCGCCAGGACAGTTTGGCTGATGAACTACTGACCGAATCCACTTGTAAGTCCAGGGGTGGAGTTGGTGGCTCTATAATTTATTAATTATATTTAAAGCGGTATGATATATTTATAAGAAAATGAAATAGTTACAAATTAAAATTAACGAAGACATTAAAAATAGTCGGATGATCTATATTAGTTTTAGGATTTAAGGATAATTTATCCAAATATTGGGTTTAATGACTATTCTTACATTGTTCTTATTAGTTGTAGGTATAGTAAAACAAGTTTTTCAAAAACTACTAAACTGTCTTGACCACTTGATTTGTCTGGCCAAGTACTGCGCTAAGTACGAGGGCACCCGAAGATGGGTTCAAATCCCGGGGCAAAATATATTCGGTCGGATAGGGCACAAAAATTTGATCAACTCTATAACTATCCCGCCCCATGCGTCACATAAATAATTGTTATGATCGTCCAAAAATTAGATCATCTACAATTTACTAATATTGAATATATTTTTTAAAACACACCTAATATCTTGACGTGTAAACTGTAAGTTGCTACGCCATAAGGATTACTAGCTCGACACTCGTACTGCCCTCCGTCTCTGCTCTCCACGTAATTTATATTAATTGTGCTTTTCAAGCCATTATTTGAAGACGCCTCTGATATTGTGGCTCTGAAATAATAAAAAGACATTAATAAATATAAGAAAAGAAGTGTTAGGATCAACGCTACCTTTTGGGAATAATGCGAATGTATTTATCATGCTTTAAGCGTCATCTTTGTTTTGGATTAAAAACAATCAGTAGGTCTGTTTTATCTAAGTTCACCCTAGAAATAGTTGTATATTTGTCACGATAGATGGCGCTTTTATAAAAGTACAAAACAATTTTTATAGCTTTACAAAAAAAATACAAATTAAGTACCTACTCCGTGTTAAGTTCTTCAAGTGTACAATTAAGAATGAATATTTTGAAGTATTGTACATTTACGTATGTCATTAATAGAATACCCACGTTTTAATCGTATCTATTGTTATTAAAATTAAATTAAAGTTCTTCAATTAACTTGACCATGACTATGTCATCCCCCTTCTGGCTGCCCTTGTCTACACCAGTGTTTATATATTTGCAGGATGTGTAATGTATGACTTTCATCAAAGATTAAAAAGTACATACCTCAACATATCATTGTCTTTTGCCGTACACACGTGATGGCGAAATGTTGAGAACCCCCCCCCCCCCCTCACATCGGCCGAAGAGCCCGAAAGACAATGACAATGATATGCTGAACGATGGCCGTGAAAGCCTTACATAATTTATTTACATACCTGGAAGTTGTAAATTCAATAGGGCTGCCATTTAAAGTCCATTTTATTCTTATAGGGCTATCACCTAAGGGCTTGCAAGTTAACGTTAGAGGCATCCCTACTTTCGTTGTAAGATTCGTGCCTATTGACTCAAAGTGAACGGGCTCTGAAATGAAATAGGAAAAAATGTAATTACGCTTAAACGATTGATTCTCTGAAAAGCCTATCGACTTTAATTATTTCTATTTATTTTCCGTATTTTTAGAACATTTGGCGATGATTGAAATGTTTATTTAGGGAACAATACCTCATTTAAAATTTATTTCTTACTAATAAAACTTTTAAAAATGTATCTAAACAAACCGATTTAAGTATAACACTTTTACCTTTACATCGTTTTGGTTTTGTACTGTTATCGTTTGGACTAATAAAATAATTATATTTCTTTCTACTTTCGGTAAATACATAACTATACATAATATTATGTAGCAACTTCTTTAATATATCTGTATATGTATTAGCTAATTCAATTAAAAGTTAAATTGATTAGTTTATCTCTCTCCAAGTTACTTTAGCGTTATAATCTAAAAACCTTATAGACTTACTATTGACGCTGATCCACAGATTATTGCTAAGCGCCTCCCCTACTCCATTATCGGCATGACAGGCATACAGACCCTCATCAGCCAGTGACACCACTTCAATAATAAGAGTGCCATTTGGATAGCTGCTAACTCCACCACCCGCCAAATCCAAAACTGGTCTCCAAATGCCAAGAGTTGCTGCATTATCAAATGATTATAGTGATCATGTGAATGATGCGAAAAATAGCGAAAATTTGAAGAAAACAGGGAAAAATTATTCATCCTTTCCTTACGCTGCGAAAACGGTTCAAGACACCCAAAAAGTACGTATGTCTCTAAATGGTTGTAAAACATCTACATCTCTTAAAGATTAACTTGCAAGAACGACAGGACGCAGACGACGTCGTGGGTAATAGCTATAATTTTTAAAGATGTGGAGGAGGTTTACAAAAATTAATTTTGATGCCCGAAATAACTATTCTACGCCGACGAAGTCGCTGACACAGCTAGTTGTTCTTATATTTTACGATCATTTTGGACTTACAATGATAATTTCGTTTTCAAACATAAGCTAAAGGTGTTTGTTTGGCCACCTTTAAGATCTTCTTAAATTATTTATTTTAATGTGTCATCATAACTAACATCTCATTTTTAATTTAACTTGTATTTAGTCTCGTGTAGTTCTAAATTTGAACGAAATTCCTTACCATCTCGTTTCATCCAATGTATTTGCGGTACGGGATATCCTTGTGCATTGCAGTAGACCACACCGCGCTGACCCAATAGCAGGGATGTGTTTGTAGGCTCTTCAATCCATTTTGGTGCGACTGTCAAAAAAAACTTATTATTAATTATCTTTGGTAAGAAGGCTTACTTGATTCCAGATTTAAAAAAAAAAAATCTCGCTTCTTAAAGGCTTCATGTACCTAATTAAAATTTTTAATCTCTATACAAGTATTATAAAAGTCAACAAACAAATTTTGATACAGTTTATATCTACTATCATTGTTTTGATACACTGATATGAACATGGCATAGGCACTTTATTATATTATTATTAAATAGTTGATCTAACATCTGTCACATCACATCACATAAGATCACACACTTAACGTATTCAAGCTTGTAATTTTAATAACTTACCGTTTATGTACAGTTCTGTAGACTGGTTAACTTTTCCTACGTGGTTAGTTGCTATGCAGGTATATTTACCACAATGTTCCAGTGATACTCTTTTTATTATTAGCACGCTAAACAATTCTGAACTTCGTTCTGTTATCTGAAAACGGAATCATTTTATAATTAAAACAATCAATAACAAAATGGGTCACAAATATATGGTGGTTCAGTTCCGGATCGGGTATAATCATGGGCCCGTCACTTTTTTATTAAAATGCTTTTTTACTTACTCCGATTAGCGTCTCCAACATAATAATATCATTGTTTTCAAGTTTATTAAAGAGACAAGTCCTTTAAAAATATTAACAAAAACATTCAAGTTCGAATGAAAAAAATTCAATGTTATGATACTGTTCGTAATTAAAATAAATTGAGAATAAGTTATATATTAAACGATACATTTCGCGTTTTTAAGCGTTTAAAGTATATTAAAATATATATTACCCATACAGGTGATACGTACTTTATTATATGGAAATTATGTTAATGCAAAAAAAATATTATAAATTTGTGTATTTATACGAATTAATTAACTTAAATAAAAAAGTGTGTCTCCATTGTAAAGCTTCTTTTTTATGAATTCGGAGGTTTATTAGGTCAGTCAATTAACACAGTAAAAATACAACGTTATAATATGTTATAGTAATTATAAAGTACCTTTAAAGTAGGAGGAATCTTCATACCATCTTTCAACCAGGAAAAAAATATCGGCGGGTCCCCACTAATGATATTGCATGTGATTTGTACTATTTGACCCTCTTTGAGACCTGAACCCACTCTAAGTTCATCTAACTCTGGTGCTTCTACCACTTGAATTTCGAATGACCTGCGAAAAGTCACTGAACTATTATTTTTGTAATAACATTCTGAAAAGCTATTTTTCCTCTTTGTTCTACGGTTATTCTGAGTCATTGTGTTATAAATACTGTACATTGTTTGCGATAAACAAGAATTACTAAAGGTCTTGTTGCTATGCCATTCAATTTTGGTAAAATAGACACTGTATTGTCAATTTTTTTGGACATTGTTAAGTCATTTAATGGATTAAAATGTTGTAATTAAACAATGTTTTGACGAGCTTGTTGTTCCAATGGTAGCAATATATACTAATTATCAACGGGTCTTGGATTCCATTCACACCAGGTCCAACTTGACAATCTATAATTTTTCTAAAACATAATGCACTTCATCTTGAAATCTGTTTGGTAAACGGGTGGTGAGAATATCAAAGAGATATTATATCATAGAGATAGTCCATCGATTCCGTACAATTTGGACGTGGTCCTATTTACAGTTATAATTAGCTAAGAATCCAAATATTCGCCAAATTTACCTCCTAGCCATTTCCCCTGATGGACTATACACAATGCACGTATACATATCCCCATTTTCTTCTTTAACTATTCTTGGAATGTTCAATACACCGCCCTCACTCGCTTCCAGGATCTGTCGTTTCCTACGTCTCTTCTTTATGTTGGTACGCCTGTATCTGCTGTGTTGTGGTAGCATTGAACTTACTATCTTCTTGCCTTTGTGTTCCCAATCTAGTTTACTGGAATGGGAATGGAATATAGACGAAAAATAGAATATATCTAAAAAAACAATTAACATCAATCAAATTAGTGTCAAATTAATATAGCAGTAACTAACTTTTAATTAATAATTTTGACCACTATTTTATTGGAAAGTTGTCAAGCCGTTAACGTGTTATAGTTTTTTTATTTGTAATGTTAGTCCTTACTAATCGAGAGTTTTTTTTTTTTAGTGTTAATAATGTATGGTCAATGAATATCTATTTGAACGAATTAAAAAAAAAACTTCAATTAAGTATATTATTATGATATGTGTGTTTATCTGTGTCAGTCGACCCTATAATATAGATAAGTAAAAAGTTGCAGAATAAACAATAACAGATTATAAAAATTTCCTCTGTTCTTGTCCTTGAACAATATTTTATGAATATCTTTTATATTACACCAGGGTCACATTTCCTCGAATCATAATGATTATGAAGTAAGACGCATTCTTTCACAAGGTCCTTAAGTAACAATCTTAGAAAAAAAAATCGAGAATTATAAAAACCAATTAATTAGATTTATCTAATATTCAAAAGTTTAATTTTTGTAATACATTAAAAAAAGGGAAGTTTACAAATAAAGATAGAAATAGAATTAGGAAATAGAAAAAGTAGATTAAGGATTGTAAAAATATATTATGAATTCGCAAAACATGTCAATTTCTGAAACTTTTGAAATATATTTGAATGTGTTAAAAATTACATATCTTAACTTAAATTTAAGATTTAAAAAGTCAAGTGGTAGTTGGCACAGCAATAATCCAGTGCGCTGAGACGCGACGGTTCGGGTTCCTATCCTTTTTATTATATATAAGATCTGCACAGTGGAAGAAGCTCAGGTACGCTTTTGTTATCAGGTAAACTAAGAACTTTATTGCACCTTTACTCAGCGAATAGACCTAACAATCGGAGCCAAATAGGTCGGGCATTACTATAAATTCGAGGTACACAGGTATGTCTGGATCGCTTTGCCAAATAATTTTCTAAACGGTTTCTACTGGATACTGTCTATAGTTTACGCGAGTAGTACACATTTAAATAAAACACTTTAACGGTTTAAAACGTGATATATAACAATATAAATGAAAGTAAATTAAATATCATATTACACAGAAAAGTTGATTATACAAATATTATTCTGTATACTTCGTTAGTCATAACTAACACTATAACTACAAGAACATCCAATAGGAACTATTTAAATAAAACACTTTAACGGTTTAAAACGCGATATATTAGTTATACTTATTTGAAAATGATTCGTAACTTCATGATTAAAAAAAATATATTATTTATTAATAAATATTCTTAGCGGACGAAGTTGCTGGCACAGCTAGTAAAAGATAAATTAAAAAGTGTACATAGGCAACACCGCCGATTTTCAGTGGCCTTAGCGGTTTTGAGCGTTTCACGGAACTCTAACTCAATTTGTCTGTATATGGCCCAGGTTATCATATATTAAAAATATATAACCAACTTATTCTAACAACAATACGATATAAGCGTTTCAAAGGTTGGGTATTTTGAAGTTATAGTTACTCAGAAACAAACCTGATAGGATATCCATAATATGGGCATTTCAGTTTTAAACCGTCACCGCTTTGCACCTTGATTGGCGGTAATGTCCTTATGTAAGGAGGTCCTAAAACAGTAGGAATAAACTTGTATCTTTAAATCATGAGAGTGGTAGGAAATAAAATACTTTGAATACTTGAAAACACATGTTATTACAGGTGATGGCATTATATAAATTAAAAAGCGATTATATTATTATTATTTTTTAAATATAACATGATTCGAACTGGCATCCACAGATATCCGTCTTGTGCTCTAACTAATTGAGCTACCGCGTCCTACTCGCCATCTTTGAATTTTTTCAACATGTTACTACATGCACCTCTAGCACAATGTAATAACTTAACACTTGTGTGTTAGGCAACAGCGCAGAACGGTGTGGATGCCGGCTCAAGACCTGCCCTAATATTAAATTTATTTTAATACTTTAAACGGTTACGATTTTTTGTTTTGGCCGTGGGAGACTCTAGAGAGAGAGGCAACGAATGGTATAAAATAAGTATATTCTTTCGTAGCCACTCGGCATCGAAATAGTGGAACAATTCGCGGGGTTAATGTAAAGTAAAACCAGGTCTTCTTACCATAAATATCTATTCTAGCCGAATGCCGTAAAACAGAGTCACTTTCGTAAGCCACACAGGAATACAATCCGCCATCTTCAACTCTTGACCTGGATATGTTTAAGTGAGTTATCACTCCGACTCCTGATGACGACATCATTTGTCCAAGGATATACCTGTAACAATAAAATTAATGTTAATGTGAGTGGAAATTTGTGTGTCGAAGCTATTATAAAACTGAAGAGTTTGTTTGTTTGCAATAATTGGACCATTAATCGAGAAGCAAGAGTTGGAAATGTGAAGAAAAATTGGGTAATTTTATCTTCAATGACAACAGATAAACAAAAAAATTGCATCAAAGAATGATTTCTCTTTAAATAACCTCAAATATATGTTTTTTAAGATTAAATTGCAAGAATGACCGACGCGGACGACGTCATGGGTAACAGGTAATTTTATTTAAAATCTTACATTTTACATCGACACCCGTCTAATGTTACTTAATTAATTGTCTTATGTGTGATGGCGCACTGTCATTTAGATCGTCAACAGTCAGCGTGGGTCGACTGAAATTCAGTGTTAGTTGATTATGAACTTGTTGTTTTTCTTAGAGCCGCAACAGCAGTAAAATTGTATAATAATATTATTTGCCTTGAATCTGTATTCGAAGAGATGACAACTCCATCTCTCTCCCAAATGAATCGCGGAGGTCTGTCCCCCGTCGCTGTACAGTGTAAACTTATCTGGAACATAGCAATAATTTCACGAAATTCATAATTTTAGCCTTGTCTTACTAAACCTGCTTTGGATCTTTAATAGAATATCTTAGCTTAACTTTGTGAATCATTATTTTAGAAATACTATTTTATTACATTTGGGCTAATCTCCCTGATTCTTCTTCTTGTTCTTGATTGGGGTTGAATCAGGGTAAAGACTAAATACATCTATTTCGCGTTGTACGTTGCTCGCTCTATATTTGTTTATATTCGAAATGTTGTAAGCCATGATACCTCATTTTATAAATGATGGACATAAGTGTACTTACATCTTCTCCTGGTGTGACAATCTTATCTCCGAAATGCTGAGTTATCATAATGTTACCAGAACCAATATCTCTCTTGATACGTACGCCTAGAAAAAATATTGTGGTGTACACTGCATCTACACAATACAGTATTTTTATATTTTTAAAGGTTCATAATTATGATTATGTTTTCTATCAATTTAAAGGTGTAATGAGAGTCTTAGATAACAATTTGACTTCTGTCATATATTATTATGTCTTAGTCACTAAAATTAAAATTATAAATACGTTGATATAATTTAATTGTTGTTATTTGTTGTAAATTAGGTTGGAAAATCAATAAATTTAAATATAAAGCTTACCATTCTTCCATAGACGTTCATTGCGAGAATTATCACGTTTTCTTTTCGTTTTCACATACGTTTGAGATCTATAATGAGTAAAATTGCTTAAATTTTATCTTATACTATTATTATATAACATAGTTAAACATTAAAGAAGCGAAAAAACAAAAATACCTGGTTCTTAGTAAAATTATTACTATCAGGTATTCAGTAGAATTTAAACTATATATAGTTATAATGTCCTTATTGTCTAGTTAACGGTATTATGTTATACTTGAAATTTAAATATTATTATAAGGCAATTATGTCTTTTAAAAGCAGAGATAGTTCTATGATGAGTTTTTGTACTAACAATATGAGTTGTGCGTATGTGAAGCATAATGAGTTCGATTCTCAATGGCACAACATATTTGTAAATAGGTGTATCTACTATATTGGTGTATACACGCTCGCACGTGGATTCGCGGTTTTAGATTGTGGATTACCAAATACAGTATAATACAGTGCAAACTTTCTCCGAGTACTTAAACAATCGTATTTTAAAGAAATTAACCAAAGATCACGGTGACAGCAACCGCAAATAATTATCATGAATAAGTTATAGTAACTTAGTCATGACAATTATTATCATTTTTGACATATTTGTACAACAATAAAACAAGGAGAAAGGTGGCGCATAGATACAAGTAAAGCAAGGAAAGTGGTAGAACATATGAATTTTCTTATTCATGCATTAATTGAAGATAGATAAGACTTAGGCACTAGATCACTGGAAATATCGCGAAGTCGTAAATTGAAACTGTACGTAGATTATGCGCGACCACGCACCCAGCTAATTTCATTAATCTGCCTCAATTTATGCATAGTTACTAAATGTTTGTGCTTGTAATTAGATTGTTTTATTTTAGTTTCGGTTTGGACTGTTTCCAATGCGGCGCCTATTTGTTTTTCGCTGTCTGTTACTTTGTTTTTATTGACTCGCTTACCCAAAATTTTAACACTATATTCTAAACTAGCGACCCGGTCTAGCTTCGCACGGGTGCAATATCAACATTATATCTAGCTGAATACACTACGGAAATCTCTGAACTTTGTATATAAAAACCTTTCTTTGAATCACTCTATCTATTAAAATAGCATCAAAATCTGTTGCGTAATTTTAAAGATTTAAGCGTACATAGGGACAAAAAGCGACTTTGTTTTATATTATGTAGTGATTAGAAAAACTACATAATATATAACAAAATTTAACAAAAGTATCGCATCAATATCTTTTTTCTTTAGAGTCGTAATTGTTCTTTTTTTTGAAGAGAAATTTCTATGTCCTTGTCAAATATAATATCATGAATCAAGTGATAAAGATTCGACGTAGCTTTGATCTTCCTTAATAATCATTATAACCCAATTTTTGTTTAACATAGGGAACACATTTTGCCCGATTCACTTGATTTTTTTTACAGTCGAACTTCCATGCCTTACTTGGATATTGCTTTAATCTTTTCACCAGTACCCAATCAGCTCTTGAATTCTTAATAGACTTACTTGTATAACATACATTTTAAATCACATTAAAATAATTACATGGTTTTCGATAAATTATAATTATAAACAACTCACGTTATCGCATGCCGGTTTCCAAACAGAGCACCTGAAACAGGAGTAATTCATGAATTTATAAACATTAATTATGAGATATTGTTTGATGTTTTCCGAAATCATTAATAACGTATTAGCGTTAAAATAGTACGGTAATTCTACATTAAACATCATATTTCATTCAGAATTTTAGCTTAAACAGAAAAGCTTATTCAAAGCTGCCACACGTTTAAAAGCTCTTGTTGATTTTAAATGAAAAAAAAATACACATACTATCATTAAAACAACCATTTTAACGGTTTAAAACGTGAAATATTCCGTGAAAACCAACATATTTCGACAGCTCGTCTTGTTTAAATGCTATATAGGCTGAAGTATATCACTTCCCGTCAAGTGAACCAATGCCATACCATGCCATATCTGTCCTCCTCTATCATAAAAAAAAACTACGAAGTTTCGTTTGCAGCAGCTGCGGTCGTCTAAAAGCAAAAATAATGTTTTATTTAAACTATGTTTCTTTTAAAATCTAAAATAAATTGAAACAATTTTCGACTAGGGCAGGACTTGAACCGACATCGTCAGCTAAACTATGTTATTAACTATACCTAACCTTATTAATTGCAAAATAAGAGGTATTAATTTTGTTCATAGTTGTCACACATCCGTATTGAAAACCCGTGGTCTTCAATTGAAAGTAATACATTTTGACTGAAGTAAATTAGTGGAAACGCAAACTATACGAAAAACTGCCGAAAACTAAAAAACAATACCACAAAAACTTTTTCAATCAAACGGCGCCCGTATAATTTCCATAAGCAGTTTTAAAACTCGGAAGAACGAAACGGTTTTCGAATTGAAAAATAAAAAGCGTAGTTAATTAAACTTTACTATTGAGAGGGTAAAGTTGGTATTAGCCTGCCGGTGTGGATTACAGGGTAAGTAAAGTTGGGAGTTTGAAGTGCATTGAGTTGCACTCCACTAAGTCTGGGGGTTTTTGTAGGGTAAAGTTGTGCAACATACGGGTTTGATTATAGTTCGCTATAAGGTTTATAGCTGGCAGTATAATCCTTTTAGGGATGCAGAGTTAAATAATATTATACGTGTAAATTAATATGTAGCAATTGTGTACAAAAGTTTATATGTTAATTATCTCTATTTATTATATCTATCATTATCTTTAAAATTCTCTCTTTAATCAAAACTTGCCCAGCTGCTGTTTAACTATTACCATTCGCGTTTCGAACCGTTGAATGTGTGCTACTTGCGTAAATAATTTTTGGGTTGTGAGGCAAAATATCTTGTGAAATATGAAATGTGTCTTGATTTAATACTGAAATGATATATTAAAAAAATCTGGATATCACTTTAACGACTTTTTAAAGTGATACAAACATTGTACTAATTTAAGATAATTTTATTTTTACTGAAAAGCTTTTTTGTAAGGCTGATAAGGTCTTATAAGCACTGCAAATGAATTTAACTTAACATAAGGGCTCACATATTCAAAATGGCAAAATGTATTGTGTTCATAGATCGCATATCTTCTTTTATCTCATAAACCACGTGGCTTATTTAATTATACAAAATTTGTGAGTAGGTTACTTGTTGCAAGCTTTATAAGAGCACTCAAGCTATATGTGCTAAGAAATACCCGGCTTTGTTTATTAAATTTAAATAAGTATATTACGAGGACGGAATATATGGACTTTATTAAACTTAAATATACGGAAAGATTAAGGTGTATTCGCGTATAATTACAAAAAAAAAACAGAATACCATAGGTGAAGACACCGTTAGTCAATTCTACAACGACCTGGTCAGTTTGCCAAATACCAACTAAAAAGGAACAGATGGCGCTAGCGTAGCAGTTTTTACTTTGACATTAGAGACAACCTCCATCTTTAGTCTCCTCTTGAACACGGCTCCTGCAAAGTATCCGCAACGCCGTGTCATTGTTAAAATATTTTTTTAATAAATTTCACTGACATATTTCGCGTTTTAAACCGTTAAAGTGTTTTATTTATATGTTATTGTCGAATGTATTATCGATATATTTAATTTAGTAATAATTATGCTCGCCCATCCCTAGGTTTATCCGATTTCTAATATCAAATAGGATTAGCTCTAGCCGGCTGGAGCTAAATCAAAGAGGCCGCCAGTGTGTGAGATTAGTTATTGCCTGCCTTCGATCAGTTATGAGGAAATAACCCTCGTATAAACCTTTAATCTATAATATAATAAAGCTGAAGAGTTTGTTTGTTTAAACGCGCTAATCTCAAAAACTATTTTTTGTGTTTTACCATTCATCGAGAAAGGCTTTAAAATATATAACATCACGTTGTTGTTTTCATCGTCATTCAATCTTAAAATATATACATATAGTCGCAGACTGTTTTTAGATCATTTAAAGAGGAATCATTCACTCATACATATTTTTTGGGTATCTTGAAACGTACTGCAGCGTACGCCTCCGAAACCCATATAGATGAATAATTTTCCCGTTTCTTCTCACATTTCTCTCTCGTTTGTAGTTCCTGAGATTAGCGCGATTAAACAAACAAATAAACTCTTCAGCTTTATATATTAGTATTGATTGTATCAGAGTAACAACATTTGTTTGAATTTACAAGTAATACAATTTAAATAAAACACCAAACGTCGTAGTCTCCCCGTGACCCTGACTGCTACAAAGCATCCTAAACGTCGGGCCATAGTCACAATAAGTTAACTAACAAGCCGTTAAAAAAGTGGTATATAAATAAGCAAATGTAAGCGTGTATTTCTTAAGACGTATTCCCTTAAGGTTGAAAAGCCAGTAATTTCCCAAACCCGTAACCCAGTAACGAACAAATAAAAAACCTCTTAGCTTACAAAGCACACTCCTGATAGAGTTGAACAAAAACCACGATTAATTAAGTTAAAAAGAAAACGAATGGAAATGGCTTTAGCGGTGAAATAAATTCCCTACAATAGGTCTATGTGTACGCTAGAAGTGGTAACCGAAAAGCAATATAATATATAAAAACATTGTAACTTGAATTGTTTCTAAAAAGTGTTATCTATTGAAATAGACCGAGATCCTGGGTTCCATTCCCATGGTATCATGGTATATATTTGACTTCAGGAAAA